CTGCTGGACCGTCTCCAATAGGTCCACATCCTTTCTGTAGAAGAGTGGCCCAAAACTAGATGCAATACTCCAGAGGTGGCCTTACCAATGCTGAATAAATGGGAAAGGTGATAAAGTACAGGGCAGACCAACCATGCCACCAGTGCCATCTCACCACTGTACAGGCAGAGCTGCTACCATCTTCACTGATGCACTTTTAAAAGAAAACAGTTTAGAAATTCTCTATATATTTAGTCTCTTGCTGTTTCTTGATAGTTTGGTTTTTCATTTGGTTTGGGGGACTCTGGTTCCAATCTTCTCTCTCACACACCCCTCTGGATTAGGCCAAAGACACCAGGATTCAAGATCTGTGGCTCCTGTCCACAGTCATTCTACTAGTGATAAGCACCAATACTGCCTCTACTGGGTGAGAGAAGCCCACATTTAATTCAAATGTCATATCTACCAGTCCACACCCAGGCAAACCAAATGTTTCAACTCTGGAAGCACCTTATGCAGGTTGCCATGCATCTGAGGTCAAAAGTAGGCTGGGGAATGCTTTCCACTCCTCTTCCTCCCCCAGTATGCTGTCTTGAGAAACACCAGAGGGTGCGCTTCTGGCTGCAAAGTTTGATTCCAGTTCCAGTAGCACTGCCACTATACACAGCCAACCCATCCCTTGTACAGTTTGGGGCTCTGCATGCAGGACTCAGAGTGGCTTAGAGGATGCTTGGAGGGCTTGGCACCAGGGGTCAGGCGACCCCCTGCATTTACCAGCAACAGCCATAGGAAGTGGAGTGACCCAGCAGCCTGCCCCACTCCATGCTCTCCCAGCCAGCTCATTCCACTTTACTGGGGCATAGGAAGCAGAGCATCCCTGAGCAACACAGCTGGGACCCAGGCTTGGGGAAGCATAGCGAGCTGGGGGCCCGGTCACTTCGCTTTCCGTCACCCAGGTGAGTGGGGGGAGGCCCAAACCCTGCTGCCATCACCAAGCCCTGTCCCAGTAGTCCCCTGGGGGCACAGCAGAACTTAAGTTGAGGGATGGAGTAGGAGTGGAGCAGTGGCAGAGTAGGAACAGGGGAGGGGGAGGAAAAACAGTAAGGAGGGCATATAACCCTGAATAACTTTTGCTTACATTAATAAAATACTTCAAGTGGAAAAATATATTGCTTATGCCACTTACTTTGTCAACAGGTTATACTTGTGACCTTAATACTTTTCCAAAGTACACATTTTCAGGGCTAACAAAAACACTTAAAGGGGCAAGAGGCTAGGGCCAACAAAATTCCTTTTGGGGGGAGGGGGGTAACCTGAGTTTGAGAATGTTAATGTGGACAGAAGCTCCTTTAATCTGACCTATGGACCCTTGGAGGCAGGCAACTTAGTCCAGCAAGGAGATGTCCACAGTAATGATCATTCAAACTAAATGGATGCAAAAAAAATGTTACTTTAATACAAACCTTGAAAAGATCCATTCACCAGTTGCGGGAGCAGAAAACTTATTGGGATAGATTGTGGTTAGAGGTGTGACTACATTCTGTCAGAGGCAGTAAGGGAAAGGGAGCAGGAGCTGCGGGGAGCCAGCTTCCCCAGAACCATCTCTGCTGGGGCAGGGGAGGTAAGGGGGTAGCAGGGACCTGCTATGAGCCAGGATAGCTGATTCCCAGCTCATGCCAGGCTCCCACCCCTCCTTCTCACCCCATCCCCTGCTGCACTCCAGCTTTTTTACCATTAAGACTGGTGCACAGCAGGGGGACCCAGCCCAAGCTAGGAATCAGCTGGCCCAACTCACACCTGGTCCCCTTGATGTACTTCAGCCTTTTAAATGTATTAAGTGCTGTGGAAGAAAACATTGTCCTCACTCTGTTTGTAAGCAACAAAAGTAGCCAGAGGCAGTTTTATTAGGAGCTGCAGCCAGGGAAAAACTGGTTGGGGGGGGGGGGGGGAGACAAAAC